GTTTGAGAGAAAGATTTTGCGGAAGATTTACGGTCCTTTACGCGTTGGCGACGGCGAGTACCGCAGACGATGGAACGATGAGCTGTATGAGCTTTACAACGATATGGACATAGTGCAGCGAATTAAAATACAGCGGCTCCGCTGGCTTGGTCATGTCGTTCGAATGGACACCGACGCTCCAGCTCTGAAAGTATGCATTTCGGAACCCGCTGGTGGTAGCAGAGGAAGAGGGAGGCCCCCACTGCGATGGAAAGATCAGGTGGAGAAGGACTAGGCTTCACTTGGCGTTTCCAATTGGTGTCAGTTGGCACAGAGGAGAAATGACTGGCGTGCTTTGCTTTGCTGAACTCGGCCAAAATCGCTTAGGCGGTTACAGCGCCAAAAAATAAAAAGAAGAAGAAGATGTGTCCTTGGCTCTAGGAACTCAATCGTATGTTTGGTCACCCAATCGCAAGTTATGCAACACTGTGCATGCATTTACTCCTTTTCCAGTAAATCCAGGACCATAAAAAGGAGTCCTTTGCTGAGATAAGCATCGCCAAGTTCCTTTGAGAACGCCAAAAAGTCTCTCGACTGGGTTTCGAGCTTTGAATAATGCCTCATTGTAGCGGAATTTAGGACTCCCTTCTGGTTGGTTAGGTAGAGGAGTCATCAACCACGGCTCCAAGGGATATCCTGAGTCACCTGCAAATATATATTCGAAATTTTCAATTAAATTGATTTTAATAAATAAGTTTCAGTGGATTTCAAAAGTTACCAATCAAAAACATGTTATGGTTTCCATTTTCAAAACATCGCTGCATAGCTCTCCGGACTGCAGAGGAGCTCCAAATAAATGAATCGTCTCGCGCTCCTGGGTATTTAGCATTGACAGCCAAAATCTTTAGATTTGGATCACATATCTATATTTGTATAAAATAAAATTAATTCTCAGTAGTTTAACCCGTGAGCAAATTTTACTCTTACCATTTGCACATTGATAGAATGGTACCCATGGTGGTTGACATACGCTTCTTCATGATGTTTTGGGCTCATGATTGACACATGAGTGCAATCGATAGCCCTAATAGTACCTCCTACAAATGGTGCCGATGCTGAGGCGAAAATTTCTTTTGCAGCTTGCCGCTCTTTTTGGGTCATTGGAAACCTAACCTTTGCCAAAACATGGTGCGGTTTATTGCCTCCGTTACGCGATGTATAGATTTACGGACGACTGGCTCATGGATATCCCCCATTGCTATCCGAGGGGACGTTGATAACAGCCAGTTGCGAAGAATCGCAAGGCAGTTAGAACCTTTAAAATTTACAAAAGCATTTAAAATTGAAAAATACTTGCAAATTACATTATTTACCTGTTTCTCTGTCGTTGTCGCAGTTATTCTTCGACCCCTTAATTGGCTATCAAGCTGGGAAACAATATCTTCAACCAAGTCTGGGGTTAATCGGTAAAGGTTACGAAACTCAGTTGCAGTCGAGTGGAAAGGGTTGTCCACTTCTCGAAGCAAACGTCTATCCACTGATGAAGGGCTTATTATCTCCTCATCTTGGGATAAAACGTATGCCAAATACTCAAATGCCATTTTTAACAAAAAGTTTTTCTTTTATATATTACTTAAGTAAATTCGCGATCTATATTATTTTATTTTAACTCAAATGAAATATCAAATTTTCTTTTGTCGATGCCGCTAAAAACTTCAAAATATTCGTCATTTACTTAACGAGTAAACGAGTAGTTAACGACAACAGCTGATCAAGCGATAGCGAATATCGTTAAAATATGTTTATCGAATTGTCAAATCGTTAATATCGTCGTTAAGTTTTCTTAACGATTCGATAATCGTTAAAATAGAATGGCGAATCCCACTACTGGTTTCATTGTGCTCTTTAAGGATTACAATAGGTTATGGGCGACTCACGTAAGGACGTATCCTTCGGGATCCTCCAATTTAGTGGTACCGGATATGAGAACTGGAGTTTTCGTGTAAGGATGTACTTGGATTCATTGAATTTGTTGGAAGCTGTAACTGGGCAAGCTCCAACCGTTTCTGGCGCAGAATTGGAGAAATTTAACGAAAAATGCAAACGAGCGAAGTCAATTATGGTGGGCTGCATATCAGATGAATATTTGAATTACGTAAAGGACAAAGAAACGGCTCGAGAAATGTGGAAAAGTCTGGAGGAAGTTTTTGCAGTGAAGTCTGCTACAAGTCAGACAATTATCAGGATGCAGTTGGCAAGGCTGAAGCTCACGGAGGTGGAAAAACGAAGGATAATTTCTTGGAGTTTGATGATATGATCCGGCAGCTAAAATTAGCAGGGGTAGATTTGAAAGAAAGTGATCTAGTTTCTCAGCTCTTCCTTTCTTTACCAGAGAGCTATTATTACTACGTTTATACGCGCAGAAAAATCGACTTAATTGAAAGCGCATTGACACCGTACACATTTCGATCTAGTGTCTATACTTACGGCTTTATATCGGCATCAAAGTAACCGTCTTCAAAAGCAAACAAAATCAGCAGTTTTCATTTGACATTTTATAAGTTAACATAATGGAAAGTGATAAAAATCTAGTTTTATTCGGCATTATAAAGTCGTGGCAAAGAAAAAGAACGATTATTATTAATCAACTTTTAAATACTCATGCGATTATTTGGAATTTGAGCGGAATAGCTGATCTCCAATTCGCTTTGAGTGAGAGCGGTGTTTATACACTCTTTCTAACTGTCTGGAGAATTAAACTACCGATTTGAAATGGAGTGTGAGCCAAAACACTTCGCTCTTTCAAAGCGAATTGAAATTCAGTTTATACATATGTTTTGAATCGCGGCGAAATGAATTAGAGCGACTTATGCATGCGTATAAACGTAGTATATGATTCATTGGTTACGGCTCTCGAGAATATGAAGGATGAAGAGCTAACAATTCAGTTTGTAAAACAAAGGTTACTCGCAGAGGAGCGTA